CATTGATCATTACACTTGTTGGCGATGTCATGAACACTCCACGAATCACCCGGCCGACTACGATGACCAAGGAGATGTACATTGCTATCACACTAAACAAGAACAGTTACGGTAATTACATTTCTCCCAAAGGATGGAAGATACAACAGCCTTACCCTCCTTGAAGATATTTCGCGAAGAATGACGGGAAAGCTTTGTCGACAAATGCGATGGTCTGCACATAGGTGCGATCGCGATGTGTTCCATACGTAATTTTGGACGCATTGAAGTACACGCTAGTGAATTGCGTAGGATGTTGTGCTTCAACAACCCACACATTCTGTAATCACGGACATTATCACCGAGAATAACTCAAAAGGACAACTAATACAAACGTACTCCTGCTGATGAGTTGACAAGTGATAGCTTCAGTGTATCAAACCAATCTCTGTCAGTAGCATTGTCTGGTCTTTGGTAGTTGTCCTGATTCAGTTGTATAGCTGCCACTATAGGCGTCGGTAGAATTACGGCACCTTCGCTAGGGACTAATAGATAGCTGGGGAACGCTTCTGACATCAAAACCTAAACCGAATTCAACTTAATGCTAAAAAAGCAAAGAGAAAGTGCTGCAAAATCTCTCAAAGACTCCATACCGTTTCACCAACTCCAGGATTTTCAAGCATACTAATCCACTGCGATCGTAACGTTGTATTTGGTGCTATGTCTTGTGACCAAACCGCTGAATGCTTCACTGCTTCCTTCTTCTGCGTATCATACGGCCGAGAAATTTCTACCGTCACAATAAAGCTGATGGACGAGTTGCCTTTGAGTTGTTCACTGGAAATAAAGGATCTCGGGTCAAAGCAAATTGTACCAATTTTTGGATTTATTTGTCGCTAAACTGATGTTCATATTGATGCGCAACATATTAACAATTCAAAAATTACCGGGCTCTTTGAAAAACTTACATCAATGCACTCATCGACTCTCCTGATATTCCCCAAGGAACCTCAGATTCAGGACGGAAGTTCACTACCTAAAACTTTCAAATTTCAACAAAATTTACTAGCACGGAACAGATAATATTGAACTTACCAGCACATCATTCGGACTGTACTCTTTAAGAAATGAAACACTATCCCTTGATCGTTTCATAGAATCCGTAGCATT